TATATACATGCCAAGTAACATATATATAACCAATACTATCAATTTAAAATATATATTAAAATATATATTTGTATCATATATATAAATATTATTCAGGTTTATAAAGTCAACTTCTGATGCATGATATAATGTGGATGATCCTTAAAGACATTATACTAGAGAAAAAAACTAAGCACAAGATAAATATATGATTCCATTCCCAAGATTTGCTTAGAGTAGTTAAAAATCATAGTCACAAAATGTAGAATCAGGGCTGCAGAGAAAGCTCAGTGGTCTAAGTGCCTGCCTAGGGTAAGCACAAGGACCTAGGTTTGATCTCCGGTACCACATGCTGTGCTGACCCCACTCAGGCCTCACTGAGCTGGCCACTGAGATTGGGCATGGTGGTGCACACCTGTAATCCCAGAGCTGGGGAGGCTGAGATAGAAGGATCACTATGAGTCTGAGCTGCATAGTGAGACTCTGTACCAAATACATAAAAATATAAAATAAAATAAAATAAAAAGTAGAACCATAGTTTCCAGGGCCCTGGAGAGATTAGCTCAGTGGATTAGGTGCTTGCCTGGCAAGTGCAGGATTCTGAGTTCAATTCCTGGTACTGAAAAAAGACAAAAAGAAAGAAAGAAAGGAAGGAACCAACCATAGTTTCCAGGGGTAGAAAAAAGAAGTGTTATTGCCTAATGGGTAAAGATTTTCAATTTTTCAAGTTCAAAAATTTCTGCGAATGAATGGTGCTGGTAAAAGCATAATGTGCGTTCACTAAAGGTTACTGAACTGTGTTTAAATGGTTAAAGCAGTAGCTATTCTATTACCTCCATCGAAAAAGACAACTTTGAAATTTGCATCCTAATTCATATGAGACCCTCAAAAAGATTATGTTTACAAGAAAGAATCATGTTTTCCATGAAGCTTATGGACTCAGTAAGAGATTGGGAAAATAGGACTAATGAATGCAACTGAACACAAATGAGCTTCACACAAATATAAGGACTTTATTGACACATGGTGTTTTCTTCTAGTAATAAATACAGTGCAACCTTCTTAAGGGTTAGTTTGGAGAGGGAGAGGCAGTCTTCACGAGCTAGGAACAGTCAGATTTCGGATTCCATCTTTTCACCTGAGAGGAGTGTGCGTGCCACAAGTAAGAGATGTGTACAAGGCTCGCACTAGCCCGACTCTTCTCTTTACACCATGAAGGTGACTCCTGGTCCCCGGACCAAATCACACCAGTTCCCCCACCCTTATTGTAATGTGATAGAGCATGAAAATAGGTAGTGCCATAAAATTTCAACGTTTCAAATATAAAAATTCTTTTATACAAATATAATTCATAATCATTTTTAAAATACAGCATCATATAGGAGTTTGAAACATTACTAAAATAAATATTTCCCAGAGGAAATTTCATTTGCATCACAAAATTATAAAACAGAAGCATAAAAAAACTAGTTCATGACTGAATTGTCTTCAGGGTATTTCCCATTGTCTCCTCACTCAGTGTAGACAGTACAGTGCAAGTGTAGCCAGCCTGGAAGCACACTGCTATCACCCTGGGCTCTGGAAGCTAAGATTTCCTGGACACTTGCCTATGGTATCCACGGGCTCTCTACTGACATATACCGGACTTGCAGCTTCTCTGGTATGAAGGAACAGTTGGTGTTGTTATTGGTGTTGTCCTGTAGCCGTTCTCACTAACACACTTTTCCACCCACTCTCTGGTTCAAAGGTTTTATGAATTGACTACTTCCACAGATGGCAAAGGCGTGTCAATTTTTGCATCAAGGAAGTAAGCCCATCCTTTACAGAGGATGACAGCAGTCATTTCTTGGGTCAGGATGTATCCTGGTTATCTGAATTACTTAGATATTTGCTAGAGCTGGCAGGTACCAACCCTGGCTTCTAGAATCTGAAAGTTCTCATTCTTGATTAATCACTAGATGTTGAGTGGGTGCCTGTTAATGGGCTGTCTTGTGACTCCTGCAATGTTCTAAGTATTTTCTTGGAAATGAGATAGCTGGAATGTTTAGCAGAGTTGTGTGTCTACATACTGTGGAGAGAGGAGAGAAAAAGGGATATGAACTACATAAACCGTCAAATTTTCTAGTTATCATTGATAATATCTCTAAGCAGTATGATTTCATTTCTCCAGTGATATGAATTAAAAGTTTCATTAACAATAGGCTGAACAACTAAGCTTGTTGACATTTATAGCCACCTTTCCAACTACTACCAAAGGGCAAGTGTTTTCAGGAAAATCTGACTTACAAAATACAAGTGGTAAATCTTCAAGGATTTGAAGTACCTCTCACACAATTTGACCATCCAGACCCAAGTGAATGTCCTCAGTTCCTCTTAGTGAAAAGTTCCTTTACAAAAAAGCATCATCGGTCTTGGTTTTCTGAAGCAGCTGATTTTTTCCTCCCTCTGCATGAGTAAAGGTCCCAAGCAAACATTTGCCTACTCCCTAAAGCCGTGTTTCTTGTACTTCTTCTTCTGTCTCCTCCTTCAGAGCAGTAATCTGGGATCGAGACTTGTGCTTGCTGGAGCTGCGATGCGGGAAGAGTTTCATCCTGTCAGATGAGCTGATAGCCTGACGGAAGCCGCTCTTCTCACTCAGCAGTTTCTGGATGGAATCGTACTGCCGCACTTTGTTCTCTTCTATGACCTAGGGAAGGGGCCGCTAGTGAATCTCAGACAGAGGGCAGGTCAGACGGGGCCAGGACAGAAATGGGCAGAGGCCCCAAGGAAAATAAAAGCCAAGAGAAAACAGTGTCTTGAGCCTGAATAAATGTCACATACACTTCATTTAACTGCTGCATCCTTGTGCTTTAAGACGATCCTACCAATTTTGAAATTTTCTGCACTTTTCTATGTAGCAGCTGGAGTAAAAAAAAAAATTAAAAACCAAGCAATGTGTTTCTTGAGAGAACTTTTGGAGGAACTAACGATGCTTGAAAAACAAGACTGACTCATGACAAATCCCTTACACAATACCTTAAAAATGAGTTAAGTGCACAGCATGACACAGCACTAAGCCTTTTTTCAACAGCATACGTGAAGCTCAACAATTCCAAGTCGGACAAGATGTGCCTGAGTTTAACACGTCTCCATGTGTTTAGAAGTTGAGCAACCCAAGGCCCGAGGGTAGAAAACCTAAGCTCACCTCTGAAACTTGTCCATGACAAGGTAAGAGGTTATGAGTCTGCTCCCTGATTTGTCACTTGGAGCTCAGTGATAATGATGGTAATACAAATCTTTTAGTAAGGAATGAATTTCCCCACAGGAGTCTCCAAAGCCTGAAGAGAGGTGACATAATACATTATCCTCCAGCTTCCTTATGACTAAACTAGAGGGAATTTATGCACACTGTTTGAAGGAATCTGTGACAATTTGAAAGCACAATGAGGGGGAGCACCAAATAATGACTAGATACCCAAAATAATATCTTCAGGTACTGCGTTAAAACCACAAATCAGACAACTAAGACAGTTCAGCACTCCATCCAAGGGAGATTCGGGGAAATTAAAACCAGAAAATTTTATTGTTTAACAGAAAAATATTTTTTATGGTTTGGTCCCCAAATAAAGGCCTCAAAAGCATAAGTACTTGATTTATTAATGTCATGAAATAGTATACTATTATTTTGGATCTACTGAATTTTACCTTCATATCATAGTTTAAATAAAAACTTTCTTGTGTGTGTGCCAGGAATCAAACTCAGAGCCTTGTGCTTTCCAGGCTGTACTACTGAGCTACATTCTTGGCTCTTTAAATAAAAACTTGTGCAGCTTGACTGAGTAAAGCTGCGGGGCCTTATGACAGCTATTTTATGCTAGAACGTGGACAGCATTGCAATTTGCAGTAACTATCACATGAGATGTTGGTGGACGAGAATTACAAGAGAAATGAGATCTACAATAAACAAAGACTCACCAAAAATCGCTGGCACTCCAGCATCGCTTCTATCCTGTGCTCACAGAGGATTACTGTGCAATCAGCAAATGCTTGTTTTATAGTTCTGCGAATTATCTGGTATGTTCTAGAAAAGAAAACGCCACATGCAACATCACAGAGGCTAGGTGATCTCATTTCTCCTTTGGTAACATGTTTAGTTCTTTAAATTACTGTTTGCTTGTCTTTAAAAAATGAGATGCATTCTTTTTATAGTGTTCAGAGGCTATGAGCCTTTGAACTCATAACCCTTCGGTCTCCACCTTCTGAATACTAGAGTCAAATGTGTGGGCCACAATGCCCCACTTAAGTTATTTCTTTCAATACTTTTAATATAGCATTGCCATAGAGCTATCCACAATCAGCTGCTCAACTTTGGGATACGTGCTAAATATTCATAAATAGAACAAATACTTCAAAGAAAAGTTCATAAATGAATATATTTTTCATCATGTAAAATCACCAGTAGTTCTTTGATTTTGTGCTATGTTTATGCTATAAATGGGTTATAAAGAAAAACCCTAAGGATCAAAGTATACCCATATAACTAAATATTTTATCACGTGTTGAGAAAATGGAGGGGTTTATATGAAATTAAAAGAAACCGACATTCAGAAGAGAACATAGGGCTGTGACATGAGGAGCTAGGCATTTGTGAGTGCGTCTGGGGGATCCTCCACTTGCAGACACGATACGCTAACGGGACTCGGTGCCAAGCAGACACAGGTTTCAGTAGTTCTGCTCCTGCTCTTCTCTTACATAACAGGCTAGAAGGGGCTTTTAGAAACTCACATGGGATCCAGGTGAGCACTGGGTTCATCAAGCAGTAAGATCTTTGCCTTGCTGAGAACAGATCTGGCCAAACACATCAACTGCTTGTGGCCGTGGCTTAGTACATAACCCCCATCCACAAGGACAAAATCAAGCTTCCCAGGAAACTGTTCTATCACAGATCTGAGTCCAACCTGCAGAAATAAAGAAGGAAAACACTGTACTTACAGAGATTCCTCATTTGAAATACCACAAGGCTAAAGTCTTGAGGTTAACAAGCTCAAACTATACCTAACAGTTTGGAAAGATTAAATTTGATATTAATTCCCTGACTAACTTCCACTATTTGAGTTTGATTGAGCAAAAATCTGAAATCTTGACATCTCTAAAGGATCAGTTGAGGGCTTATTTCATCCTCAAGCTTCATTCATTCAGGAAACTTCAAGCGAGTGCCACCTAAGCCCAGATCCAGGTACTGGATATGACAAATGCTAGTTGGGTCCTACAAGGCTCCAGGTTTACAAAGATGTACATATGAACAATGAATGAATGGGTATGGATTTCGCATACCATGGCATAATATGATACAGGACAGACCACTTGGCCTGTAAGACTTTAAAATACTACCAATACTAAATAAGAAAATTAGAACTTTCCTAATGGCAACAAATTTGTACTTTATTTCAGATCAGTATTTGGAAGTTGTTTTAGTCAAATTAACCATCAGTAAAAAAGACTGGGTAAGCCAGGTTTGGTGGCACATACCTATAAGAGAAGGAAACCATGCTATCAATTTAAAGGGCTTGTGGAAAGAGGCTGCTATAGAGTAAAGCAGAAGGTAACTACCTGATAACAACTAGAACTGCTGGAACGGGAAATCCCAAGGACACAAGCTCAGGTACTAAAACACTAATTCAGTGTGACAATGAAGTTTGTGAGATCTTCCCTTCACAAGTTGCCTTGGAAAGGAAACTAGCAGAATACTACAATACTATTAAGTCGCACTCACAGGGGTAGGGTTGGGATGTTGCTGAACATGGAGTATGCTCCCTGTAGTTTCATATCAATCATTCATTAGTTTCCCAAGCCACCCTAAAGCAGCTACTTTGCTATGCTATGCTGTACACTTCCCTAAGGTAAGAGCTAAGCAAACTGTGCTCTTCACTATAAATAAATAACACCTGAATGTGTATCACAGTCAGCATTCAGACAACATAGTATTAAATAGTAAATGACAGGAACTGGGCATAGTGGCACACACCTGGAATCCCAGGGCTGGGGAAGCTGAAAACAAGTCTAAGGTGCGTAGTGAGACCCTGTACCAAATGCATAAATAAATAAGAGCATCAACATTTTGTGGCTATGTGGAACTTTAAAGACAAAAGATGCAGGGACTTAAAGTTCATCATATCAATACTTGATGAAGAATACTTGTTCCATATTATGCCTAACATGTTTGATATGCAGACAGACAGTGAGGTTAAGCTTAACAGCCTAAGTTGTTCGATAATAACAACAAGCTTGTCTTCTGGATGGTTAGCAACCTAAGTACGCAGACCAAAATTAGAGAAAAAGGAGGGCTACAAGGAAAGCCAACATTTTGGCCCTAGCCTTCCAAGGTCAATTAAGACTCAGGACATACGAGAACTTGTACTGTAACATCATGTAACTCAGTAGTGTCCCAAATTTTCTGATCAAGGAGATTATGGGGCCAAAGAGGAAAGTGATCGATGATGTAGAGTGTGCCTAAGGAGAGTCACATGGAGAGAAAATATTCTCTCAGGCTTTCACAGAGAGCACATTGGCCAAGCAATGGCCGTGACTCATCCACATGGCTGACACTGACAAAGGTTCTACAATCTGAGGTACAGGATCTCAGGATAAATCCTGAGGGCATTTCACTGACCTTACCAGAGCCAAAAGCTACAACTCTTGTTGCATAGGTCCTGCTTTACCTTGGTCTTAACCATCCAGAAGGAAAGTATAAAAATGAAATATAAGAAATAAAGCCATGCTGTGATGTTGAGCTGTGGGAGACTCAGGTCAACAATTTCTGACATTGCCAGTTAAGTGGAAGACCCGATACTATTATGTGATACTGGACTCTTTTAGAATGTTTTGCTGAGTTTACACACCTATAATATTCAAATAACGGAACTTAACAAAAAAAGGGTATACAGATGAATGTCCATTTTGTATCTGTGTATTCAAAGTGGTTGGGATAGATATATAGTTACATTCTCTTAATGAATAGAATGATTTGTTCTAATGGTGTTTATAAATAGGATCTCAAGTCCTCATCTTGTACAGCAATTAACCACTAGGAAGAATGTATGCAGTGCGTTAATTATTGAAACTGTCCTACCGATTTGATTTGCAACTGTCTCATTGCTATTTGTTTATCAATAAAATTATGGCAAAAAAAAACCAAAAGAATTTTCCAGCATTATGTTCCTGAGCTAATAAATCTCAGGTAAGTGCCAGACTGCTATTAAGATAGAAGACATTTTGTTTCATAACATGTCACACTAAAAATGTTTAACAGTCTATAAGTATTAAGAATTTTGTTCAAAATGTTAGCTTTTGCTATTGCTATACTGTGGAACATTATTATGAACCAAGAATGTGCTTTTGTGATAAGGACAAAAAGAAGCAGAAAAGTGAATTGTGGTTTAATTAAATAATCCATTAGTGGATATTTATAAAAATAGACACTCTCCACTCCTTTTGATACTCTTTTTGCTCTTACTCTGCAGGCTTTCCAGGGCAAACTTTCGACTTAAAAGGCCACTCTGTCTGCTACTTAGCTTGCTTCTAAAATAGTGTACTTTACTGTCAGTGTGTAAGGACAGAAACTTTTCCAAGTAATCGCAAAAGCAAACGATGACTAAAAAGCCTTCATTCTAAAACCAACAGTCATGGTACTTAGACTGTGAATAGCACCATGGGAGCTCTCTTGGGGAAACAGCTCTGGAAAGGGCAGTCAGTGCTACAGCGCTAGCCCCACTCTCCCCCGTCCCAGCAAGGCCTTCAGACTTTGCCAAGGCTCAGTATCCTCATGACTAAAACAGGGATTGTAACACTTCCCGTATAAATCACAAAGCTATTTTCATGATATATTACTGATCCCTCTTTCATTCATTCAATCAATAGTTACTGAACAACCATCATGCAGCCAGCAGCAGTCCTGGCACTGGAAGTGCCCCTGTGTAAATAGGGCAGGACCTGATCTGGAGGCATTGCAGTCCTGTGGGCACCTGGACAAGTGAAGAAGTACACAGCCAACCTTGTAAGGCATGCTCTGCAAGGGGAGGAGGTATAGGGTACCCTGAGAAAGGGGTAGCCTTTCCACCTGAAGCATCATTGCAAGTTTCCAGTAGAAGCAATGTGTTAGGAAAGGCCTGAATCGTGAATAGAAACAGAAAGGGACAGGCTGGGAGGGCTCCCCAGGCACACAGAACAGCATGTGGGAAAAGCACTAAGGGAAAAGGGCACCAGATGCCTCAAAGAAAAGATCAGGATAACTGAATCATGGGAAACGGGGGGCTGGGCAGTGAGATTACAGAGGCAAATGAAATCTAAGTCATGAAGGCTCTTGTAAGCCGTTTAGACACTGTGAACTTTGTCCAGCAGGTAATAAATAAGGAGTCCCCTGAAGACAAGTGGTCAAGTATGGAGTTCACAAAGGTCTCCAGAGCTGTTTCCACCGCAGGGTCTGGCATCCCCAACATGTTTCTGCTTGCACAAGTTGTATGATGCACCCCGTGGGATTAAAGGAAGATTAGACTTCACAACCTCTAAACCCAACTCCCTTTTCTCTTTTTCTAGGCTGCTGGTAGCTTGCTTGTCTATTTACGGTTTTGGTGCCTCTTCAACAAAAACGTGTAACATCTATGACAGTAAGGTGGGACGGCATCGTCATCTGTGTTAAAGAATTACAAAATGGGATAATGAAAAGGTGCTTTACATGGACCGACCAATGAGAACTTAGAGATGTAAATACCTGCTATTTTAAGTCTGAACCATGTTTTCTCAAATTTTAAATTATTTTATGATCCTGCCTCCCTGTACATTTTATTGTAGCATGGCAATACTTAAAGATTTTATAAAGTCCAATGTCTTCCTTCTCAAGTTTTTTCCCACCACACTGTGTTCCTACAGTTCACCTTATGAGGTCACATCAAAGATCTTAAAATGTGTCACTTGCAATTTAGTTAATGTTTTCTTTAAAGCCCCTGAATTTGTTGGGTAATAAGGAAACTTAGATAATGCAAATGGTTAATCCAAGGACATTTTACGAGGGGCATGCTGAGGTTGGGCTTTTAACAGGGACGCCTTAGCACTGACAGGCATTTCAAAGCTCCTGGCTGGGTGGACTTAGAAGGAAGGCACAAAAGGAGGAACTTTGGGAGAAACATAAATTCGGCTACAATGACCAAAAGTCCAAGAAATAGAATAAGGTTGTTCTCCAAGACCTTTGAGTCTCAAAATTCTTGTGTCTCATGATTCTATTTTCCTAAAATCCCAAGTTAACATAGCAGAACAAATTATTTTCCCTTTTCTTTAAATCATACCTGTATTTCACAAATTATCAGTTCAAAGATGTATTGTTCTTTTGTTAAAGGAGCCAAAAATTCCGCTCCAGCGCTCCGATTTCTCTGCATCGTGCTTTGGATTGTGAATACTCACTGGATAAACTTAGGCTGTCACTCAAGAATTCCGATCCCATCTTCATCCACGCTTCTCCTGCATGACACCCTCATGAATTCAGAGGGTGGCATTCGCTCCGTGTAGGTCATGCGGCACTTTGCCTGCCACTGCTTATAGCCACATCATCTGAAGACAGACGACGGGTAGCTTCCAGAGAGGAGTACAATTGCCTGTATGTGCTCTAGAATAAACATCATCCTTCCGTGCTAATCCTGTGCTTCCCAGAGTAGTATATCACATCAGACTGAAGCCTCTTCCTTAGGCTGGGATGGCTTCAAAACCCAGAGGGAGTGGATAAGAAAGTGTGGAGGAAGACCAAAGCAATGCTGTCTATGGGACCTGCTGTAGACCAAAGGGTTAGGACCCCCCAAATACACGTGTTGGAATCCCACCCCTACAGTGCGGCTATCAGGGTGGGGGCCTTTGGGAAGTGACAAGGTTGTGAGACTCCACACAACGTGTGATCCGGATCTGTGCCTCATCAGAGGCTGCAGGTAAGCTTGCCCCTGCTGCACGCTGCTCTGTGCCTTTGTCTTTGGCTGTGTTTTTTCCACACAGCAACAACATTGCCATCCCTGAGGAAGCAGGCCCTCACCAGGGTAATCTGCCAGTGCCTTATCTGGAACTCCTCGGCCCCCAGAACTGTGAAAAATAAGTATCTGCTATTTGTAAGCCACCACCAGGTATTTTGTGACAGTAATCCAAGAGACCCTGGGTCCAACTGGGCAAAGAAATGGGTCTAATCCAAAGAATGGGGAGTGGGGGTTGCTGGCAAAATTAAGGCACTTAATTTTAAAGCTGCACATATATGTGCGCACACACACACACACACACACACACACACACAAGCACACGTGAAAATCATCTCTGCTAGGACGACCACTCTCTTGCTATAAGCTATCTCTTTACAAAATATAATTTCTTACCTCTTCTGCAACTTTCCATATTTCCTGATCACTCCATTGTTCACAGGGATCCAAGTTTTTTCTAAAAGTTCCAGAAAAGATAAATACTTTCTATAATAATAAAGAAAAAAAAGCAGCATGAGTGACCTAAACAATTTATTTTTATTTTATTGTGAAATATTTCAAGCAGAAAGAATTAAAACAATGTAACACATACCATTGTATTGATTCACTTTTCCTAAATTTTAATAACTTATTATCATTTTCTCTGTATTTAAGAAAAAATATTCTAGCAACATTTGAAATCTCTTGTGAAAGTTTTTCTAATCCCAGTGTCCTTATGATAAAGAAACTAGGCTCGGGGCTGGAGAGATGGCTCAGTGGTCTAGAGCACCTACTTGAAACAGGCTTGGCAAAGCACAGGGACCACGGTTCGATCCCCCAGCACCACATGCCAGCCAGCCCCGCCCCCTGGTGGGCTGAGCTGGCCACACCCACACACACAATAAATAATAAAATGTAATAAATAAATAAAATAAATAAAAAAAAAACCTTTAAAAAAAAAAAAAGAAACTAGGCTCACTTTAACTGTGTAAAAAGTAACACTGTTTATTACTAGCAACATTTCTCATAATAAGCAAATAAGCAATTCAAAAATAAAAAGTCCATGAGTTATATTTAGCTTGTCATAGAAAATTCCTATCTACTTAATGTAGATGTTCTTGGATTTCTTTAATGCACCTAGTTTCCTAAGGGATTTTATTTTTTAACGTATTTGGTATTAGGTCCCACTATGCGGCCTGGACTCGTAATGATCTTGTTTCAGCTTCCCTGGTGCTGGGATTACAGGTGTGTGCCACCACGTCTGGTCTCAGTGGCTGGCTCAGCGGGCCCAGAACAGGGCTGATGTGGCCCATGGTGCCGGGATTGGACCCAGGTCCCTGCACTTGCCTAAGTAGGCACCGAGTGCACTGAGCTGTCTCACTGGCCCCCTAAGGGCTTCTGAAATTGCTTTAGCTTACAGACACTTGGTCAAGTCCACACATGTAAAGCAGCTTAAACTATGGCACACTTGTACTTACAGGGCCAGACAGACACAGGAAAGGTCACAACTGAGAAATCAGTGCAAGAGAAGAAACCAAGTAACTGGTTAACGGAATGCACTGTACAGAAGGAAGGAGACGCTGATGTGTGTGAGGTGAGTGGGGAGCACGGTTCGCTCCCAGGAATGGCCTGAGACAGGCCACTTGCCACAGCGCTGTCTATTACATCTGCCTCTGCACTGAAAAACACATCTTTAAAAACCCTCTCTGTCGCATTGGGAAATGCTCATGAAGTAAGTAATAAGAACAATATCTAATCCTCTCTGCACGTGTTGGCAAATTGAAAAAATAATTTTGATCTTCATGCCTGGCATAATCTTTCTTTACATTTTTTCTTTTGCTTTTGGTTGATAATGCTCACTAGAGGATTGAGAACTGAATTTCTACAAGCCTCCATTTCTGCAAGCCTTAGATGGAAAGACATTGCTCAGTGGAAGAGGCTACTGAGGGCCCATCAGACTGACAGGGAGCCATAAAAGCAAAGTCAGCCCAGGTCACGGTGCCTGTGCCTTTCGGACACCAAGGCCACCAAGTTCAAGGAAGGTCACGTGAGAGACCTCAATCTCAGGGCACAAATAGGGCTTAGATACTAATGCTCCTGCCAAGTACACCAGCAGCTCTCCAGAGCGGGCACCCAGAAGGAGGCCTGATGTGCCTATTTCTCAACTGATGTCAAAAGCTCTTTTCTGATAGACGTCCTCATTGCTCTACAGCAGTGGATAGGAGATTAATGTGTAACTCACAGGATCATAAAATATGTCAGAGAGTACACCTGTGTCCAGCTCCACAACTGAATAAAAGTAATGTCCAAATATGCAAGAGAGAGTAGAGCAAAGAGCATTATTAGAGAAGTTTGATTAACTAGAGAATTAAATAAGTAGCCCTGAGAGCAAGTCAATTAGTGATTTAAGCATTCGAATTTACTAGCACCTGAAGTGCAAAGAGAAACATTTTATTTACTGTTCTTTGCAAAACTTTATCATTGTGTTTGTTTAAGTTTTCAAAAGTATCCAGAAAGAGGAAATAACTATGGCGGTTAACCATATATTCAATGCTTCAGAAAAGTAATCCCCACTAAGTGGCTGGGACACAGAGCTCCAGTTTATGGCAGGCTTGCCTTGTACCACACCCCTGGACAGGGTAATTAAGGGTGTTACTTCTTTCCATCTCCAAACAAGCCTAGTGAGGTAAATCCTATTGTTGCACTCCAGGAAAGTAGATCTTGAAAAGTCAGTTGAGGGACTTGCCCAGAGTCATTTAGCAAGTGGATACTGGAATTCAACCTCAAGCCTGCTTCTCTCCAAACCCTTGTGTCCCAGGACCACAGCAAAATGGGCCGGGCTGCCGACCCACCTGCTTAGAGCCAGCAAAGATTAAAGGTTGGACAGGAGCGGCCCTTGTGGGTGTCTCTTGTGGAAGCATAATATTTATTTAAACACTATTTTTCACCCTTCTGGTCACAGGGTCAGGTCTTGGAAAGGTTTCCTTCTTCTTCCTAAGCAGAGGCTTAGTTGAAAGACTGAATATAGGCTACACAATCTGTAACATCCAAGGAGTCTTATACACTCAGTACAAGCACACACTAGAAATGTTTACTTTGGCCACACACAATGATGCCTTATCCTGCAGGACTGGGTAGGGGCCAAAGCTGGTACAGCATGAAAGCAGACACAACAACTAAAAGCAACGTGGCTCACTATGATGACGCAGTAGTGCAGTTTCGGCCTGCTAGGTGTGTGTCCACAGATAGAAATCCAGCACCTTCCATTTCCGTGTTTTGGGAAATGGGACATACCATCTTCCTTCCCAAATCTCCTCCCCCTCTGCAGCTCCCCATCTCAGTGCATGGTACCTGCACCTTCACCGCCTCTATACATGAACTTGAAGATTATCTATGACTCATCTTTCTCCCTGATTTTTCTAAATGAAATTAATCATGAATCCTATGAATATTTCCCCAAACAATATGTCATATCCATTTATTTCTTGATTTTCACTGCCACCTAAATTTCAAAACATCAATAAGAGGTGAGATCAAAATGCACAGAAAATATTTAAATTTTAAAAATTATTACACTAGGGCTGGTCAGATAGCTCAGGAGGACTAAAGTGCCTGCTTACGCAGAGAACAGTGGTCAGGGTTCGATCCCCTGTGTGCCATGCCAGCTCCACCCCCAGGGTGCAGGGAGACAGCAATTGAGACTGGTGTGGTGGCGCACACCTGTAATCCCAGCACTTGGGAGGCTGAAAATAGGAGAATCACTATGAGTCCAATCTATGCAGCGAAACCCTGTAGAACCTGTACAAATGCATTAAAAAAAATTATCACACCAAAACACATATTGCCATCAGTACCCTCAAAATATTTCTTCTTGCTCTGAGCACATTTACCCCACTGTTGTTGGTATCTGAGAAGCAGTTCTGGAAGTCGTCTTTCATAAGTGTCTTTACAAGGCATGATAAAAAATAATACAGCAAAAAGGCTCAAGTCAACAACTTCTGACATTGCCAGTTGTGGGGAGCGATAGAACGCTCCTGTTATATTTTCCCTTATTTGGGCAAGAAGTGCTGCAGCACCAATCCCCGCTTGCCTCGACATCTTCCTGTGGTCCTGGACCTCCACTACCAATCCACAACTAGTCCCACCCAACTGCTTCCACTATACAGCTATTTAGACCCCGCTCACTTCCTCAATAAACGAGACTTGATCAGAAAGCCTGTCTTGTCTCCGTCTCTCGTGTCTCTTGCCCTGTCCTGTTCATCCCCGTTCCTCCTCCAGGTCACTATCCCACGTGTTGACTCGTGGGATGAGTCAGCCAGTCTTATGGAAAACCCACTACTATTATGGACTACTAGACTATATTGGAATATTTTGCTGAATTCATGTACCTATAATATTTAAATGACAATGGAATACCCTTCTCTGACAAAACGAAATAAAAAAGGGGGATACAAATGAATGATCATTTTGTACCTGTATATTCAAAATAGGATAGATATATAGCTACATTGTCTTAATTCAATGAATAGAAAGATTTGTTCTAATAGTGTTTGTGGACAGGATATCATGTCTGTATCTTGTACAATGAATAACCACTAAGACAATAACATGCAATGTATTAATTATTGAAACTGTCCTAATCGGATTTGAAACTGTCTCATTGCTATTTGTTTCTCAATAAAATTATTGAAAAAAACCCAGCAAATGTCATTGCCATGTGTCATCTAACAGAAAGGAAGGCTCTTAACAACATTACAGTATGTCCTCATTCCCCTTTTACCAACTCTGCTATCATAAAACTTATGAATCTCCTCAAAGTAAAAATGACCACGACTTAATTTTTTGAGTCAACTCAGGATATTGAGACAGCCAGGAGAGCTCAACTAAGGACATGAAGGAGGATGTCTTCTGTGGTGGAAGGCAGAGGGGACATCAAAAGATTTAAGATGTGTTAGGTATGTGTACTAACTACTTACAATGAATGTAGTTGTTAGATATTACAAACGCAAACTAGTAACAATAATAATACAGAAAATGGGGAAAGGGGATTGAGAGATGCAATGGGGAAGGGCTGTGAGTGGGAAGAGGAATACAAAGGAATCAAGGTATACTAAGTGCATGCATCCATTCCCTAAGGCGACATGACTATCAAGCACTGCAAACAGGTACTAATACGACGTAAACAAAATACATGCTTTAGGAAGTAGCAAGAGTGATGAGATACACAGTTTCAAAGCAAGGGGGAGTTTCTCAAGGGGGATGAATGGCAGTTTGTCTTTTACTATGACAAAATTTTCAAATGTAAAGATTTGCCATGTTTTTGGATCCATCCCTATAATCCCAGTGTGTGGGAGGTGGAGGCAGAAGGGTCACCGTCAGTTTGGGGCCAGCCTGGGTTACATGAGTGTAAGGCCAGCATGCACTACACAACATAACCCTGTCTCAAAAAATATGTAGAAAATATCAAAGTCAGAATTCAGAATATGTTACTTTTTTCCAGCTTGAAG